AGACGGTTCAACCACAATTTTCGGGGATCTTCCTCAATCTTGATAGCTAATCCATACTTTTGTTTAGAGAGATTAGAACTATAAGCTACAACATCTAATAATCAAATGTTTTCTATTATCAACTGAATACTAAATCAATGCAAACGAAAAATCCTTGACTATAAGATGTGATATTAGGCAGCTGTACTTTCTGTAAGAGCGATATCGACTTTTGGCGGGATATTTATATAAATATAATTTTTATAGATTTTACAAGAATGAAAATTTTGATTTCGCAAACTATTCGAAGAGTGGCTGCATTAAATCATACGCAAGTTATGGCGGAAGACTAGGAAATATGCTTTGAAAAAAACTTCAACTCTTGAAAATATATTCACTTTAAAAATTAACAAGTGAAAACACTATAATATGGCACGGCCGACCATTGAATACCTTACACTACCCTACGGTGCTATATGGGAAGTGGTTGAAAAAATGGTCCAATTCGAATCATTTTGAATAGCGTTCGTCCTTAGGTCAAAGCACATCAGTGTGCTAAGTTTCATCAAAATATTTCAAAAGTTGCGCCACAAGTGGACGAAAAGAAAACAAGACAGACGGACGGACAGAAAGGTAGACAAGCTTAGACAAGCTTGATTCGGAATCATCATTTGTATATTTTGTTACAATAAAACATGGATCTATGTCAAGTCCTCACTTAATACGTCCTCCTATCACAGGTGGTATAGGGTATAAAAATAAATAAGAAAATAATTTAATTAACTATTCTGGATTAAAGCAAATACAAATAAGGCAAACATATTTTGTGCATCTATTGGCCCCATTTGAGTTTACCTAAGTTTAATATGTATATGTAAAAATCAAAATATCTAGTTACAGGTATTTCGTTTTTAATTTACATTTAGGACACCACAAGATGTAGTTCCTTTTCAATTCCATATCGCTGTTGAGTACGTTAGATTCTTCGCTCGAATGTATAGAGCGAAATGTAAAATGCTATCACATATTTTTCAAATGTTGCTCGGATGACACTTGTGGATTCTTTAAAAGCATCTCCTAAAGCTATTTGCTGATTTTTGTATTTTTACTGCTTATTAGAAATAAAAGCGATAATGAAAGCAAAAGAGAGAAAAAAATTAAAGAAGAAGGATTAAGAGAGCATGAATGAATCATTTAATAAATGTAAACAGAAATTTTACTTATAAGGAACACTATGAAAATTGAAATAATTTTGATAATTCATGTAAGCCCCATCTTACATATATGTTACTGTAATTTGTATTGTATATGGTAACATATCTTAAGGATTTAATTGAAACAGTAACCAGATGATAATTTTCCCATAATTTTTTTCGCATCCCTTCACATGTATGAAGGGATATATGAAGGGAAGCTTTTTTCCGTTGCTGTTTAATGACCGTTGTAGTAATTATGGAAAAAGTTGAGAAACAAATTAAAACCTGTAACAAGTATTATCTTCTCTTGGAGGCATGAGCTTAAACTATAAAATTTAAAAGTGTTATGAAAGTGTAAAAAGAAAGCATATAATAGAAACAAGCAGGAAAATTAAATTCAAAACAGAAAATAAAGTTCGGCTGTAAAGGAATCTTCTATGCCCACTACGCTTTACCTTAAAAAGAAAAAAAAAAAAAAAAAAAAAAATTGAGACTCTAGGAAAAGTGAAATATCGATAGTCTAAAAACTTGAATGGACATGGCACAAGTTCTCTAAGATCGCCCATAGAATATACAAAGAAAGTTTGGTGGGGCTTTTGAGCTGCGTTAGTTTGTAGAGTAATAGCAACGAAACTCAATTATTTGGCTTTGAATTCGAAGATTGCTTCCCGTGTACATTGCACTATCGGCGCTTCCCTCAACCGATTTGACTCATTTTCAATACAAACCTGCCTACAAGTGTTTCCTATGAGTCTGACAAATTGAAACTGGGTTTTTGCGACCGTGACAACGTTTACCAGAAACATTCCATAGGCAGAGAAATCGATTCGGAATTCAATTGTGATGAAGAATGTATGTGCTTTGTATATATGCTTTGTCTTTGAGTGCTGCGAGCGCTTTAACAATGTAAATGTGTTCCCCATCTTTCGATGGTGGATGTAAAAATTCCAAGATATACTATTATGAACATTGTTTGAACATAATTGCAGTTAAAAATAAACTCCGTATATGCCTCTGAATGCCTAAGAAGGCAAAGCAAAAAAGAGCTAATCTACCGCTCATTGTGACAGCCAGGTTGCTTTAACGGCGCTTCAGGACTTCTAATAACATTTAGGCTCATGCTGAAGAGTCTCCAAACCTTGAAAGAGCTGGGCAAGCGTCATAACATATACCTAATATGGCCATCTGCATATTGAAGACAGCGGAAGCGCTATCTCTTTAGCTAACGGGGGAGCCTGGGGGACAATAAGCTCCAGGGCTTTTCTGTGAGGTACCACGAAGCCATGTTAACATCGCGTTGACCGCTTACATTTGATCTCCACAAAGAAAATCCTGCCCAGGAAAGATTGTAACGTCCCACCATATTCTCTGCGAATACAAGGCCATCTGCAGAATAAGACACAAGTTGTTTGGCGAAGACTTTCTGAAATCTGATGCTGTATGGCGTTCTGACCGAAAGAAAATGGCGCGCTTCGTGAGATTCCAAAAGGGCTGAACGCATCGGCGAGTAAAATAAATCTGTGTCGATTTAATTATTAATTTTGCTAAAAGTTGTAATGTGTAGAAGAGTTCGCATTCTTGGCATTCTTGGCCAAGAGGAAAGTTGCTGCTACTCAGGAACCAAAGAAATGATTAAAAATATAAATAAATAAAATGTAAACTATCGCATAATTCTCAAGGTGAAGTTTATGGTATTATTTATGTGTCTCTGGCTGTTGTTATTATCTCTTCGAGTATTGTTATTTGGAACATAAATGCATTTTACAACTTCACATATTACAAGGTATCATTTCGTATTTTATATCCATGAATTTTATTGCGTTTTTCTTTTCTTTCTTTTTAACTAAAGTATTACAACCAAATTGCAACAAAAGCTTTTCCAGGCGACGTAATTAGTGGTTAACATACATTTGATATGAAACGTTGAAATAAGCGGAAGAAAGCTATTTTCCTACATTTTCTATATTTTATCCGTAATTTCAATTTTGTTATTTAACACGAAAGCAACTAACTCATGGACGAAACGCACACGGTGATAAAAATAATGATTGTCCACACACATGGATATAAAGTCCCATAAACGCACGTCATTATTTCACACTTGAAACAAAAACATAAACATTTACGCGCACACACACACACACACACGTACACACGCACGTACATCTGGGTATTTATATATGCAATACTTTAGTACTTAACGCTGACAATCCATTAACGAAGCCAAGCGAAAGTACGCAAAAAAAAAAAAAATGATTTACAAAAACATTTCAAAAAAATGTAATAAATAAACTTAAAGAACTGGAATATTGTATTGTAGACTGCGTGTACTGTTTGAAATTTTCAAAAGAAGAAATTTATGAGACGTTAAATAAACAATACACTCTGCGAGGGATACATATTTAAAATGATTTAAATACATATATATATATATATATTATGATCTCTAAAAAGTATTGATTTCTTCAGGTATTTAAAATTCAAGATCTTTTTAATATTCTAATGCTTTCCTGCTTTCCAAAACCTAGCACACATGCACATAACGTGTTCAAAAAGTTCCAACGGGAACGGCTGAATCGAAACACTTTTTATAGATTCCATTTGAAAAAGTACTCTTATGCCAATGACAACGGGAACTATTAAAGACTTTCTCACTAGCGTACCGGTCTACACATTTCCGCATTTACTTGTCGGAACATTTAACCATTGCCCGTAGTTAGATCAGCCCAACTGTGGTGACTAAAGTAGTTATCAAAAACCTTTACGGTTCAACACACTTCTACGATCGCTCGTTCTTTGAAATATCTGCTTGCAGCGCGTCTTTGGAATAACTCTCACTCTTAGGTCGGGTGTGCAAAAGCATTTCTTTTTCCGTCTTCCTTCTTACATCTAAGCCTTCCATCACTATCGCCGACGGGCGAGGGGCTAAGTAATCGATTATAAAGCAATTAAGATCCCTTTTTTCTTTAGGCCTTTTTTTTCTACGACACCAATCAACTCAACCGGCAACATATAAAGAAAATTGCGACCATTCGAAAGAAGACGGTGTGCCTTCATCCATGAAGCGAATAGTAATGAAAATCTTGCGAAAACGTCCATGAAATATATTAATATCTTTAGCTATTTCTTTTAAGCAGCTCAAGATCTTTTGCGAAGATGAGAATCGGTTGATAGCATATGTAAGTACAACAATTTATTTGGTATTTTTATACATTACAGCACTAGCAGTGCGCGGGCATATTAAATTTCTGCCATATCCAGGAGGACTTGACATAGAACGACCTTTTACTATAACGGTCGATTCAGAAGCACTTTCTAATCATTTTCTAATCGATTCAGAATCACTTCCTGTTCGTTTATCTCTCTGGTCGTCTTTTTGTGCTCAACCTACAGGCCGTAATTGCTAAGAAATTTTGACGAAATTTGATAAACCGACATGCGTCGCTTCAAGTGCGAACGCTATTGAAAATGGCTCAGAACGAAGCACTTTTTCGACCACTTGTCATGTCTTGCATTGTCTTCTGTTGATATGTCATTATATAAATAAATATAGGATTGTGTACGGAAATAAATAGTGGGTCCTAATCCATTATAGAGTTTTTACTTATTATGCTTAGTATAACTTAGTATAGATAGTATATACAGTTTATATAGAAAGTCATAACTTGTCATAAGCAAATTAATCACAAAACGGACCAGGAAATGGACATTAGATTAGAGTTTTGTTGTTCTCGAAAATTAAAAAATATTTTATTAAATTTCTTCATGATTTCATGATTCAATTTTTAATAAATTATTCCTGATACTTTTTTGGCATCAACACACGAAGACAGGTATTTGCTTATATCTATTTGCCGAAAATGTATATAACAATAATTATTGCAAATAGTATCAGATCAGAATATTTAAATATTTACGACTGCACGGCATTTAATAAACACAAGCAAAGGAAATTTTTTCTTCTTTACAAATTAATAGCTTCAGCGTTATAATAAATTAATATTCATTAATGTAAACAAATTGTTTTTTTTTTTTTTTTTTTCTTTTTTAAATAATTTAAAATTCTTTCTAGTTTATTTATTACAATTTTGCGAATGTATCGAAAGATTATTTAAAACTGGTTTATTTATTTATTTATATTAAACTTTTTTTTCCACAAACATTTATTGCAGGACTTGTCAATCAATCAGCTTGCTCATATAATAAAGTCTACGAGGCCTATGCCCTGAGAATTAAGTAAATATTGATCAATCTCAGAATTTCGAATTACTCTGAGAATATCTTTTCAGTGCTCGCGAGCTGTCTTAGAAAGCAATTGACGCCAATTGTTTTAAGTACAAATCGTCGGCAGTTGCAATGAAAACACGCGTGGAGCTTAAAAAAACACGAGTTATCACTTTCGTAACTTTAATGCATGTATTAATAAAAAATATTTGAGTACAATAAGATCTTTTAGGTCACGGTACGAACTGCCCACAGAATTACAATTAAAACTTGTTCCTTCGTATACAAACTTTTAGTGCTCACATATAAACGCCTTTGTTTATTTGGGAGGTGAGAGCGCTTTCTTCTTGTTTTCAGTTTACCTAATATTAATATTTATTTAATTTAATATTATTCGTTTGATAAATATTAAACACTTTAATATTTCGTTTCATTAGGTTGACCGCTTCATTATCAGATTTACATCTGATTGTTTCGTTTAGAAAATTCAAACTGAAATTATTTCTCTTTCTCGATGAACAACGCGCCCGAATCAAATGTTTATAAACATTTGATAACGTTGCAGACAGGCGCGTAAGGAAACTTTTGTTTCACTTACCTTTTTTGTCTCTTATAAAATTTCTCTTTATTCAATTTCTCTTTATGACAAGCTAAAGCCAGAACTTTACAAGTAAAAAAAAAAAAAAAAAATCCCGGATTAATTAAAAAACAAACAAATTTTTAATATAAATTCATTCATTCTTCATCTAACTTAATAACTTTCTCTTATCTAAACTACAAACGTAACAAAAAAAAAATCACTTTGACTAAAGAAAGTTTAGCAAAAAATAAAAAAAAAATCACATATAAAGAAGGATAGGACAGAACAGTAGTTTTCTAACGCGACAAGTTGAAAGTAAATGCTTCTTCATTTCAATCATTTTGTAAATTTGACTATACATCCTTTAAGTGGATTGCTTCACAAATTTGAAATGCAATGCTCTTCTTAACAAAATGCTCCGTTTTACAAATTACATGCTTTTACCGCCAATAATATGAATTATGCGTCAGCTGCCGTACTTCCAAACGATCTTTGCTTTCGTATAAAATGTTAAGAGCTTAGGTAACTTTGCACTGATTTTGAAGTGAAATTAAAATCGCATCGCATTGCATTATCATTACAAAAAAATCGCATGAGTTATTTTTTTTTTAAATTCTCTCTGCCACTAGCTACAATCTTTTTTCTTTAGAAAATGAACTCAGTGCGGTGAGTATAACTGTTCTTTCTTCGCTTATCTACGTAATCCCTTTCGTTCAATTATGTTCGAGTGTTTTATACATCATTTTATATATGTATATAAATATACATTTTTAATGCATGACTTGAACATTTTCAGCTTTCGACTTAAACTTAGGACCGAATAACTCGTGATCAACCATTGTTCACACGAAACCCTTCTCCACTGCAGTCCTCCAAAGTCTCATTCGATTATTTGCTACTATCACCAAGATCTGTACTAATGGCGACTCCATGCAAGCTTACGCTAAATACTTCTACGCTCACCATTGTACCCTCCTACCATCATAAGAATATAAGCGATATTCAAAGGAATAATAGGCCATCGTATAAAAGTAGTGTTAACCACTAGGAGCAATATCTCATAGCCGAGTGCGAAGCGTTTCTTAGTGATAGCTTCGTTTGATTGAAATAACTCATAACATATGTTACACATTGCCAATCCACCCAAACGATGATACTATCAATATTTAACTTTGCTGTCGTTGTTAATAGTTGGCTTGACCTACATAATTGGGGTCGTAAGGCTGCCATTATTCCTCATAACTCACAACTGAGTATTATTAACTTTCGAATAAAAGACAAAAAGGAAAGCCTTTCGCATTTAGGCTTTGTTTGCATGGAAAATTTTGACCTAAAAGTTGCGTTCTTCGCATTTCGTTAGTATATTAAAGATCCGCACTACGTTTGTGTACAAGGTACCGGATATATGTATAGAACCGGAATTATTATAAAATAAAATGTACGCTTATTTTACGAAAAGCGTAAAAAATATTTGATGTGTAGTATTGTTCATCGCTGACTATACATATTACTCTTTTGAGGCGAAATCCTCATCGAGTCCCCTTCGGACATTTTCGTGAGAAAATAACAGCGCACTTTCCTGTTGATCGCTCTCGCGCATTAACCTTGCTGATGGATAGATGCATGTTATGCCAACAAACGAAACCGTTTTTTTTTGCATAACCGAGTAATCAGAGGATGTCTCCTCTAAGTTTAACATGGCGGCGATGGCACCCAACCAGTGACTGTTATGCCTTTACCAAATCACCACTCACTATACTTATGAGGAAGTATGCTCTACCGCATAGATATTTGAATCCGTGAACATTGACTTGATAGTCACGACTCTTGTGTGCTCGTCTGCTCAGCGACTTCATCTGTTGCTTGTTTTAATATCAAATCGAATAATGTCGTCTGCTAGGTGCGTGCTATTAACTGTTTTACCAAAATTTCGGAACGATTCAGCCTCGCAGGTCATGGGGATGGTACGACTGAATCTACCCATTCATTTTTACATCTAGAATTCCTAATATAGATCCGTTTTTCATTTCCAATTGTTATAGTTTGGGCAAAGGAAAAATGCTGTCGGCGAATGCTTTAGATTTTCCCCAACAAGCGGCATTTTCGTTGCGACAAAAGTGTTTTTGCATTGGTATTACGATTGTTTATTATTGCCAGATGTTCAAACTGCAAAAAGCATACGCACAACATCACACTTGTTTGTACTCCATATGTGATATTAAGTCCATCTACAAACAAATTCCTGCTTCATGTTTACATTCTTAATACCAGAGGTCAAAAGTTGAAATATATAATAGAAAATTTTCATCGTCTTTTTAAACTCCTCCCATTCCCCCTTTAAAAATGTACTTAAGTAGCACTTTTTCCAAACCTACGTTTTACAAGCATTAAATGTCTATTGATGACCGAGTCTGCTTTTTATATGCCGGAATAGAAGACAGTCCTAGCTTAGATGACGCAAAGCTTATCAATATCATATGCTAGGGATTCGAAAATTCAAAACTTTTGTTTTCTTTAATCCTCTGAAGGGTTCGATCAAAAAAAAATTTGCTTCCTTTCGATTAAAATTAAAAGTTGAGATCATTAGAAACTATATGAGCCAGTGTTACAGAAATGAAGTTCTTATGGCGCATTTTGTTGGGTTATTTTTTCTTCTGGCTTCTCCAAGCCCTTCTTTACAAAAACGATATTGATGTTAACTAATTTTATGCTAACGTTTTTTCTAAATCCAATATAAGAAACGATAAATCAAATTTCAAAAATTTACGTTCATTTAAACCCCGCATATTCATTACGTACTATGAAGAAACTTTCCTTGGTTGATTGAAATTTAATTTATAAAAACATTTTAACACAAATATACATACATTTATGTAAATAGCATATAGACGTAGAGACTGTAAGTATATGTAAGTAAGACATGCAAGTATATATAAGACCGTAAGGTGCACATTTTTCTTCCCTTTCAATCTCTAACTTTTACTTGATATACTCTTTAATAGATTTACTAACATTTGTTTCTTTAATGGCCAACGTAACGATACCACAACCATTGATGCTTATAACGTCAACTACATTGTTGTTGCGCTGGTCTTAACTAAAACAAATTTCCCCATAAGGAAGAGATAGAAATATTAAAAAAAGGAAAAATAAAAATAAATAAAACAAAAACAAAAAATATCTTTCATAAATATTCATTAATGACAACAACATCAACGCACATAGCACTTAGGAATAGGAAAGACTTAAAATCTTAGAATAATGGAAATTTTTTAATAGAAATGTGACAATGGCGCTTAAAACATTTTCTAGTATACGATTTTGTTTAGCGGCAACATCAGAATGTCATCATCATTATTATCATTATCATTATCATTATAGCAATGATTTAACTAATATTAGATGCCATTAGCACACAGGTGCTTAGTTGGATTGTATGGTATTAAGCCGTCTTTATTTCTTAAACAAGTAGAGAAAGAGAAACTAAAATTTAGTTTTAATTTCCTTGCGATGTGAAAGATAAGAAACGTAATTTTATGTGCCGGAAACAAGAGAGAAATGAATTAACAAAACAGTCGGAAAAAACAGTTTTTATTAGAAATTCAAAATGATTGTCGCGAACATGTAAGAACTTTGCTTAATTATCTGAAAAGTATTTTACACAAATGTTAATAACAAATGTACGCGTAATCAGCTGCATTGTTTTGACATTGACAACTCTTTGCTCTTGCAATGTTATTTTTCCATCACAATACAAATGCACTGTGAAGTGAAATCGTGCCAATGTGTATGCAATGTTGCACCATTGTAACGGAAAAGTGTGCTGAAAAAGGCAGTTTGGCGTCTGCACGCAAATTTTTTCGTTTAATTTGCGACTAGAAAAATTGTTTGCCTATCTTGAAAAGACAATTTTATGGAGTGTGCTGAGCAAACACCTTCAAATAGTTGAGAATGGTAACTACATTGAATCGGATATTTAGAATCTTAAAATAGGAGGATGAGAACTCTTGAATTTTGCAGATTATTTACGAATAGAAAATGTAAATCACGCTT